ATATTTCCTTTCATTAATTTTTATGATGTAAATAATTTTATTTACTTATATTGTATATAAATATACAATACAATATACCCCCCAGTAACAAGTTTCAAGCGATTTCAATACATTTAAAATTTTTTTACGCCATTTTGAATTTTGAAAAACTGACCTCAGATTCGTATTCAGCGAGCCCAAAAACCCCCGAGTACCAAGTTTCAAGCGAATTCAATCAATTTTTAATTTTGTTGCCGCCATATTGGATCTGCCATTTTGAAATTTGAAAAACTGACCTCAGATTCGTATTCAGCGAGCCCAAAAACCCCCGAGTACCAAGTTTTAAGCGAATTAAATCATTTTTTAATTTTGTTGCCGCCATATTGGATCCGCCATTTTGAATTTTGAAAAACTGACCTCAGATTCGTATTCAGCGAGCCAAAAAACCCCCGAGTACCAAGTTTCAAGCGAATTCAATCAATTTTTAATTTTGTTGCCGCCATATTGGATCTGCCATTTTGAATTTCGAAAAACGGACCTCGGATTCGTATTCAGCGAGCCCAAAAACCCCCGAGTACCAAGTTTCAAGCGAATTCAATCAATTTTTAATTTTGTTGCCGCCATATTGGATCTGCCATTTTGAATTTTGAAAAACTGACCTCGGTTTCATATTCAACGAGCCCAAAAATTACATTACTTCAAAGGCAGAAGACGTTTACTAATACAGTACCTTAAGGTTTTTTTTTGCTGTCAAAATAAAACTGGAAACTAACCTCAATTAGTGATCCAGGCCCGTAACATCAAGGGGGAACTGAAATATCTATTTTCTTCTTTATTAAATTATTTGGTTTATATTTATCGGCTTTTAAATTGTATATAAATAAAAAAAGTGTAAAAAAAATCTCACGTTTCTTATTTATTCTATAAGTGAAATTTAAAGGCACTGGCAAAACTTTTTTTTGCTTCGCACCTGCTTTATAAAAATGTCCGATGGTGTCAACTAGGTTATGATATTTGTTCATATACAAAATTCATGGGTGAAATTCTGAGCTATATCCAAATCCATTATTATAATTTTGTTCTTTTGTATTTAAATTATTATTATAATTTTTTTTTTTTTTTTTGCCAATTGGCCGAACTGAATTATATTTTACACACGCACAAGTGCCGAGTAACATTAATAGGCAATGTTATTAAGGCAAAGTTAATAGTCTAACTTCCCGGACATAGCGAGTTTCATGGAGCAATCGTCACCACTGACAATGACATTGACAAAACTACCTATATATGTATAGATATATACACATAATACACGTGAATTTAATGTCCAATTTGCAACGTGTGGTTTCTCTCTTGTCTCGCCACCAATTTCATTTTACCTCGCACAATTTTAAAAGAGGTGTGTCTTTTATTAAATTTATATACATATATATATATACGCGTATATATATTTGTATATATATATATATATACATGAAATAATAATGATGCACTTCTTATTTTAAATTGTCCGTCGAAATTATTCTCATGCAACCAACCACAGACTAAAGGTCAATTACCCTTCTATGTCGATTATTTCCCAAAAAAAAGAAATCATGAATACATTTAACGACATATGAACGTAAAATCCTTTAGAAGAGTTTTTTTTATGAGTCGAGGGTTTATTTATTACCTCAATGATTTTTGTCCGTTGGCCCAATTAGAAGAGGGATCCTATAGAAATACATTAAAAAAAAAGTAATTTAAACAATTTTTTTATAAACGATTTTTCTGCTTTTAATATTTATGTTGCTTCTACCAAAATAAACTTTTGCGAAAAGATCGTTTAAAGTAAAAATAAGTTTTATGTGTTAAGTGGTTTTTGAATTTAGTTTACTGTAAAGTCCGTCAGGTGGCGCATAAGTGTACTTGAATATTTCCTAAGTTACCACTCTATATATATAAATATCGAAGTTCGTAGACAGATCACAATCTATCCTAAATTGTAAAAGTTATTTTATTCTTATTTCTATAATAATGTAATCTTTCTACCAAAAAAACATTTTTGTTCAATAAAGTACAGTTGATTAAACTAAAAATCTAACATTTTCATTACATTAAATATTTACCCATGTAACACGTAATATTACAGTAATATTAAAATATCCGTCTCATGGTAATATTATCAGTTAATATTTGTAATATTATTGTTATATTACAGCAATATTACTGTAATATTTCACATGCTTATTTGAAATACATAAAAATTTCAAAGTTTTTTTTATGATAAAGCAGAAAAAGATAATAATTAATCAGTCAAATATTTTTAAGGTTATGGTTGTGATTTCACATGTAAATATTTTCCGCAGATTTTCTCACAAAATACATTTGATATATTAAGCTAAAATTTTGTAAAGAACTTAAAAATAGTATAAAGATTCGTTGTCATATGCAAAATTGATTTCATATTTGGGAAAATAATCAAAATCCATATTGCCGATATATTAAATTTTCCTCAAATATTCAATTTTTTAAAAATAATTTTTGTTAGCAAAATATTAATAAACTTTCGCAAATGACAACGAATCATTATACTATTTTTGAGTAAAAAAAAGTAAAAAAAAAATTTATCTGAAACAATTTCGCTACGAATAGTTTTACTAAAAATTGAAAAGATTTTAAAAAAATTGAAAAATTTCGTTATTTCAGATAAATTTTTTTTTTTTCAGTGAATTGAAAATGTTTCCGAATTAATTAAATATGTAATTATTATAATAAATAATAAAACTGTAAATTAATTATCGCTAATAATATACAATTATCAGAAACAAAATATATATTTTTCATAAATGAAATTAAATTTTCTTTATATTTTTAAAAAAATGATTTAACACTACTTCGACGTATGTCAATTAATATAAGGAGAGGAACTGACTCGCACTTTCTCCAATGCAATCAGGTTATTCTTTAACGAGAGAAAAAAAAATCGAACAGGTGTAACAAAATATAAATAAAGGAATTTTCAACACACATTTAAAAACTGTTTTTGTTAAATAGGATTATTATTTTTTTTTTTTTGTCAATTGCCTTTTATTATTTTGATATTTAAAGTTTTGTTATGTTTTGCTCAATAATACAAATGTGAAAAGAAATATATATTGATGATGATGATGAAAGGAAAACACCTGTGTGTGGTGCAATAAAAATTCATGTTTCTTCTGATGATCACACTATGATCCAGCATATTTGCATTCATTCAAAGATTTTTCATATATAATTATAAAATATAGGCTTTATATTATAGAGATCTAACGCAATATTTGAAAATAATAATTCGATGAGTGACACCTCAATGAAATATAAACTTGAATATTATACAAAAGAACCCTGATATTTAAACTTGATTTCTTGAATGTCGTCATATTTATATATTGTACAATAAATTATAAAGAAGGAAATATTTTGAAAATTTGAGACAAATTTTAAGACAAAAACCCTTTTAAACCTTTTTTTTTAACAAAAATAAAAAAAATAAATAAGAAAACAAAAAAATAAAACAGAAAATAGATAATAAAAGAAAACAAATAAGCAAAAAAGTAATTAATAAAATTTATAACACACGAGAAACATAAATCTCTTTTTTAAATTTATTGTGTCTACATTTTAAAAATTAATTTACGAATGTTAGTTTTAAAGTTCAGTGATTATGAAAAATTTCAACTTTTAATTTCTGACATTATAAAACTGCGTATACAAAAGTTTATGGTCATCTCTAACTATATTTAATTTAAAGAAATATTTGGACTCTGAACCTAAACTCGCGAGAGAGAAAAAATTTTTATCGAGATAATTATTAAAAGCAAAAAAAAAAAAAGAGAGAGAGAAGACGGTGCGAATTCGTCAATCAGGGTCAACAAGACTACTTAGAATGACCATGAAAAATTTGCATTTATTCGACTGAACATTTCCAGGTGTGCTTCCTTATAAAAATTAACGACATAAACAAAATGTAAATGATTATATATATATTAAAAATTGAATAAAATTTCAGTAAAATCTTTCTTCAAAAATCCTTTTTTTTTTGTTCTTTCTTCAGTGATTTTTTTAAGGAGCAATTCAATTTTCTTTTTGTATTATATATATACGATTTCCTAGGCGCGACAACTTCCTTAGTGATACGTTTAGTGTAATATATATATATATCTGATATGAACTCATTCTTCAGGTGACATAAAAAAAGTATTACATTTTTCTTCACTTTGTTTAATAGGTGGTAACTGCGCAAATATAACAGTGCCCTTATCTGATAACTGTGTGCGCGAGATAAGTTGTTCAACTTTGATAAATTTCTTTTTATAACTTCTAACTAATGCTAAAAGTTAGCGCATTAAATTTAGAAGCATTTTCAAAAAATTACCGTATAAAAATAAACTTTTTTTTATCAATTATATTTTCAATAAATAAATAAATAAATATGGCAAAAAATTGCAATTTGTAGCAATTTTTCTTTTACGCAAAAAAAAGCTAGAATTACGAAGAGAAAAATGAAAATTAGTTTTCTATATAAAAAAACGAGAAAAATTTAATAAGTTATCGAAAAAATGAAAAAGTAAATAGTTATTTTTTTGCTCCAATTAAAAACAAAAAAAAAATTTAGTCTTACCGACTGTTGGTACAAAACTGTAATTTCCTCCCTTATCAACGGATGCCGTTCTGTTTTACCAACCACCGGTATTGAGATTCTTACCGACATTCGGTAACACTTTGTATAAGTACAAAAATACCGCATTAGATGACACTACTTCTTTCTTCTAACTTACTTTTTTCAATTAGATCAATTTAAATTCAATTTAAACTATTTAAACAATTTATTTACATAAAAGAACCTAAAAAAAATCTTCATTAATACTCTATTAAAATCAATCTAAATCTAACTAATATGGTATTAAAAGATATTATAAAAATTATTTTTAAAAAACCAGGAACTTCTTCAGTGGATCATCTACTGGTTTATTTCTGAACTATGACCCTATCAAATCTTGTCTACCAGTTGCAATTGTTTCTGTATACATCTTGGACTAAATAATGTCAGAGTATCAAATGTCGTTTCTTTTTAATGAACATAATTTATCAAATTAATTGTCAATGTTATAATATTATTATAAAAACGTGTTCAAATGCAATTTTTGTGTATGTGCAATAATGTTTGAATCAACGAAAATTAATGACTTAAATTTAACAAGAGATGTAAGTCTAACCTCAAACAACAGACAATAGGAATAGTTATTTGGTTTAATTTTTGAAAACATATTTAAAAAAAATGTATACATTTAAGCCATTTGTGTTTATGAATCATAAGGCAAAAAGTTATGAAAAACCAAAAGCGCGTAGTGGTCATAGAATTGTATGCGATGAATATAATTTATATTCATATGGTGGTTTTAATCCAAGTATAACCAATGATGATCCAGATATGCAAAATGATCATACATGGACTGAGAGTAGGCCTCTATTTAAAGAATTGTGGAAATTTAGTCTTGCAACACAACAATGGAAACGTTTACCAGGTCAGGAGAGAATGCCAAATGAATTAGCTTCAAATGCTGTTGTTTTAAAAGGGAATACATTATTGGTTTATGGTGGTACTGGTGTGCCATTTGGTGAAAGTTGTAGTAATCAACTATACAGTTGTAATATAAATGATGGTGAAATGTCAATTGTTAATGCAACGGGTGATTTTCCCGAACCACAATATGGACAGGCAGTTATTTGTGATGGTCCATTTCTTTATACAGTAGGTGGTACAAGTGGTTATGAATATACATGTGATATTCATCGTTTTGATTTGAGAACAAAATCATGGGAGGCTGTTTATATTTGCGCTGGTCGTGATCCACATGAACCAAAAGGAAGATACAGACATGAACTTGCATTTGATGGTAAAAGAATTTATGTTTTAGGTGGTGGAACAGCAATGGAGGCTTTTGGTTTTGTTGTAAGTTTTGGATATTTACAATTATTTTTCCAAAATAGCACGGCTTTTTGCTGTGAGGTTACTGTAAGGATATCTGTAGGGTTCCATGTGGGCAAAAAATCATGTTCGTTCTAAAAACGGTTTAAAGACGTTCTTAGAACGTTTCATGTCCGCCAAATAATGTTCTGGAACATTTTAAGAACATGGATGTTCAAATAATGGTCCAGAACATTATTTGGTGGACATGAAACGTTCTAAAAACGTTCTTAAAACGTTTTTAGAACGAACATGGTTTTTTGCCAACAGGGTTTGTAAGGTTACCGTGTAAGCCTACAGTAAACTTGAGGTTAACTTAAAACTTTCGCCTTACGGTAAGCTTACTAAGGTAAGGTAAGTTTACACAGTAAGGTCGTGGTAAGTTTACGCGGTAAGGTTGTGGTAAGCATACACGGTAAGGTTGTGGTAAGCATACACGGTAAGATTGCTGTAAGCTTCTTTTAAGATTACTGTAAGATTGATGTAAGGTTGCTGTAAGGTCACTGTAAGGTCACTGTAAGGTGACTGTAAGGTCACTGTAAACATAGAATGTTGTTAATAAATAAATTTTATTAATATTTATGCGCAGTAGTTTTCTATGGCACATACGGCTGCGCAGTAAATTTTATTTAACAAACCCTATTGGGGTTCATATTACTTTATGTTTACAGTAACCTTACAGCAACCTTACAGCAACCTTACAGTAACCTTACGAAAAACTTATAATAATCTTACCGTGTAAGCTTACCACAACCTTACCATGTAAACTTACCACGACCTTCCTTAGCTTACCTTAGCTCTACTGTGTAAGCTTCCTATAAGGCGGAAGTTTTAAGATTACCTCAAGTTTACTGCAAGCTTACACGGTAACCTTACAAACCCTACAGATATCCTTATAGTAACCTCACAGCAAGAAGTTGTGCTATAATATTTATTTTACCTTTCTTTGTCACACTGAGAAAAATATGCTATTGAATCAATAGCATTTCTACTAAAGGCATAAAAATTTATTAATTCTGAAGCATATGCTACAGAATTTGTAAAATATTACATAGATTTATATGATTTTCAAATCAATAATTTTTATGCCTTTTGGTAGAAATGCTGTTGATTCAATAGCATATTTTTCTCAGTTCATACAATTTTTTTTTTTTCGTATTTTACAGAAAATACCAGCGTACGATTTGAAGACAAATAGATGGATGACATTAAATACATTAGGTGATACAAATCCAAGAGGTGGTAGTCAACAGAATTTAAATGAAATTCCACGTCCAAGACGTTGTCATGGATCTGTACAATATACTGATGAAAATACAGGTGTAACAACTGTTGTAATATCAGGTGGTTACAATGGATCGGAAGTTTTCAATGATATTTGGAAATTGGATTTGAAATTATTACAATGGACACGATTGAATCAATGCAAATTACCAAGACCTGTTTATTTTCATTCCACTGCATTGACTCCAATGGGACGAATGTATGCATTTGGTGGAATCATCAGAAAACGTGATGAGGTTATTATTATTATTATTATTCTATACAGTGAAGATAAACGACACTGCGCATGTCTAATATGGCCGATGAGACATCTCTAGTCGTAAATCTTAAGCTTTTACATAAGAGAGAAAAGGATAGAAATATCTTTTGTCCTTTTCTCTCTCATGTAAAAGTTTAAGATTTACGATTTCATTCTGCGTTGGCCCAACTCAAAAAATTAAAATTTTTTTTTTTTTTTTGATGATTTAAGGCCGAGAGAACCGATGCAGTACTATCAGTTTGGTTGACAATTCCAAAATTATCAGAAATTTGTTGGGAAGCTATAAATTATTATTATCCAAATTTACAATATCACACGGCAGACGATTTATTGAGAGTTGGAATTCCATTGAAATATGTTAGAAGATTGGACGATTGTTATAATCACAATGAACGTCAAGCTGATTGGGTAAAATTTTAGCCAAAAATTCAAGGTCTAAATAGGTGCTATAAGAATGTTTTTTTTTCTTTTTTTTTTTTTTAATAATTTAATAATAAATTATTTTGTAAGTTTGTTATTAAAATTGTATATTTTTTTTTGAGTATATTTAATTTAAATAAGAAACTATTTATTTGTTTCAGTTAACTTGCCATTCTTTTTTTTTTTTTTTTTTAATTATTTTTTTTTGATGAAAAATTATTGTAAAATTATAATTTCATTTCAGAACATTCTTACGATTCTATTTTTTTTGTTGTTAGTGTATTTAAATGTAGTTAAAAATTTAATTAATTACAAATCTAAAGACGATAAGAATGTATGTGATGAAAATGTGATCCTCGTAATTAAATATTGAAATATTAAAAAAAAAAAAAAAAATATTGTAAATGTGACAAAAATAAGAATTAAACAATTTTTTTTTTTTCGTATTAGCTTGCAAATTGCATATTTATGCCAATTTTGGTTTTGTTTTTGACGTAGTTTAAATTGTATTAGACACGTTACTTTAATTATAAGAATAATTTACATTAACGCAAAGTTTTAATATTTATCCAAAAAAAAAGAAAAAAACGAATTTACTAATATTCTTGTATAAACATTTTAAATTTAAGTTCTTCATTTACGCGTGGATAAATTAAAAATTAAAATATGCAAAATCAAAACTAGAAATTTATTCAAACATATATAGAACATGAAATTCTAATTAAGTAAATTGTCATTTAAGGAAACAATTCGAAAATTGTTGCTCATATCTACGTAAGTTTAATTATTCTTTAAATTTTCAATTTCCAATGAATTAAAAAAAAAAAAAAATTAAAAAATCATAAGAAATTAATATCTTAATAACACCTGAAAACAAAATTTATTTATCAAATAAATATTTACTTGAAGGAAATAATTTTTAAGTCAATTAAATGAGATATTTTGTTTTAAATACAGAAATTTTTTGTTCAAATAAAAATTATTTGGTTCAAGTAAATATTTATTTGTTACTTATAAACGATTATTTGAATCAATTTTTTTTTCAAATATCAATTTAAAGAATCAATTTAAAGTTATAAATTGTGCACAAAATTTCATGTTTTCTTTTTGTAGTTCGTTATGCTATTTAACGAAAAAAAAACCACTATACAAATATTTATGGATTGTATAATGTTTATTAAAAATGACATTTACGAATGTGATCTCAAAATGCAAATAATATATATGTACTTATGAATATAGATGTAGTTTAAAGCAATTTAATGACTGATGCAAAAAATAGATTCAAAATCTATATCAAATGTTTGGATGTTGATGGCAAAATGTTTATTGTAGTAAATCTAAATATTATTGAGCTAAAAAAAATAGTTTCTCAAAATATATATTTCAAAATCTTTCGAATAATTCTTATCAAATTCAGCAAAAAATATAGATTTTCAATTCTTAAGAAACTTTCAAAAATATTTAACAAAAAAAAAAAAATTTACTATTTCACTTTGTTTATTAAAAAAAAAAAAATTTCTTCTTAAGTCTCTTAACTCTTTCGCTCTAAACAATAATAAAATTAAAACTCTTTTTGGTAATTATTTCTAAATTGAATTTAGGTGTAAAAAAAGAATTAAATTGTACAGCGAGAAAAAAAAATACACGCGAAAGGGTTAAATGTATCATTGGCCTTTGTCCTTATAATGGACAATGATTACGTTAAAATATATTTTTATAGAAAAAAAAAAAATTCTATAAATTTTCTTTTTGTAGACAATGTACATAAAAAAAAATTAAGTAAAATTGTTAAAGGTTATCTATTCATTTATAGCAGTTTAAATATCTCAACCACCACCACCGTTGTAAATATATACTGCAATATTTAATGTAATTATATAAATTTGCTTTAATGTATATTCACATTCAATACAATGTTTTCTTTAATTTATATTTTATTCAAAATTATATAGTCATTTTATTCGCTTCAATATATCTAAAAAAAATCTGTTGCTACTTAAAATTGTAAATGCTGGAAGTTTAATTGAAACTAAAAACACGGAAAGAAATAAAGATAATTTTATGAACAGTTATTCTTTGCTGTTTTAATTATTATTATTATTATTATTATTATTATTATTATTAATAATATTATTATTATTATCATTATCATTATTAGTATTATTATTTATTTACTTTTTTATTATTATTATTATTATTCTTTTATTTCTTCTTTATTTATCTTTTTTCATTTTTATTATATAATTGTGAAATACGCTTGTTAAACGACTTATATTTTTTAAAAATGGAATAAAATTTTTTTTATTTGAATTTTTCCGCTCAATGACGTCAATAAATATCGTCAATTTGATTGGCGGAGAAAGTTAGTCAGTTCATGCGCATAAATGATGTCAGAAAGACATTCTATATACAATTTCCTGAAAATTTATCAAAAGACCTTGTTAAAAAAAATCACGTCATTTTATTCCAGTTTATTTTGTCGACAATATTAATAGTTAATTATTTTTTTTTCTTTTTTGGTCCCCACGTATATAATTAAATAATAATTCAAACTAAATGAGGAATTTGTGAATTTTTTACTACGTGGCATCTATTATTTTGTGATAATTATTTCTTGAACTATTGTGGTGAGTACTGGATAATATTCAATATTTTTTTTTTTTTTCTTTACATACACGAAACCAAACAAATGATAGCAGTTTTTTTTTGGGGCTAATATTTTTTTACAATATTTTTGAAAATTTAATTGGCATTTGGAATTTTTAAATATGTATTATTATTATTATTATTATTATTATTAGGATGTTTATAATTACTAACGTGGGAATTACTCGAAAGTGGGAATGATAAGTTTTTTACATTTAACACGTTAACTACGTTCTAATTATCAATTTTGACATTTTATTTTGTATTACAAAATTTAATAATTTTCAAGGTTTTTTTTATTTTTTGTATTTGAAAAATAGTGATTGATTTGATAATGTATTGTGTTTGGATTTTATTTTCTTTAGATGTATTTTTTTTTATTATATTGTTAATTGTTTTCGAGATATTTCTGTGTGTATCTGAAATTGAAGTTATTTCTAAATAACCTAACCTACAAATGCTTTATAGATCAATATTCATAATGTTTATATACTATTTTAAGAATTATTTTACATATGAAAATGAATTTTAAGTTTTTTGTTTTTTTTTAAATAAATTATTAACCAATTTTGTGAATAAATAAATTATTTTTATTTATTCATTACATTTATTTATTATTTAACTATTATTAAATATTATTTAATTAATATTAGTCTGTATCTTCGGTGCTTGGAAAGGAAGATACCTACCTTTTCATTTTTTAATACTTCGTAATACTTTTAAAGAAATAAAAGAAAATAACAAAATTATTAGTTAGTAAAACATTTTTAGAAAATTTTTTTTGCAAAATTCCTTAGAATTCACTTGGGAAGTGAAGAAAAGTTACAAAACTGAATAGTAGATATTTTCCCTGTAAACTGCTGCCATCTATGTTGAATTCAATATAACTTTTTAAATTTCTTTACATTTTTTTTTTTTTTTGAAAAAATTAAATTGAAATACTATTATTTATAAATATTTATAATTTCTATTTTTATTCTATGCTTCTTTCAAGTAAAAATTAAAACCTGATTTACCTCTATTTAGAAACAGAATTCTTTTTTAAGAATTTTTAAAGGTCAAGAATGAGTTACCAAGGAAAACGAGATTTTTTTTGAATAGTATTTTTCCAAGGAGAGAGAAAGGAATAGAGTTCATTGATAGGCCTATATTCGTACTATTCCTATTATACCAAAATTTATTGTTACATTCAGAGAATTGTTTTATTTGAATTAAATATATAATATATTTGAGTTAAATAAACGTATATTTGTCTCAGCCCATTTATTTGGCGTATAAATAACAATTTTTTTTTTTTTTTTTATTTAAATCAAAGAAAAAGTTTATTTAAATCAAAGAAAACATTTATTTAAATCAAACAAAAATTTATTTGAATCAAATAAATATTAATTCGACTCTTGAGACAAATATATCATTTCTCTGGATAAACATTATTAAAAATAGAACAAACAAACCATAAATTATATTCAATTTAAAAAAAAAGTTTTCCAAAAAAAAACCATAATTTAAAAAAAAAAAGTTTTCAGAAACAAAAAAAAAATGACTTTAATCGAAGGAGTCGGCGAAGAAGTAACAGATTTCTTCATAATTGTTGGCGTTTTATTAATTGGTTGGCTCGCATGGTGTTCAACTAATATAAGCGATCAGCCATTAATACGAACAGTACTTATTTTACAACATCGAACACGCACACGTATCGCCGAATTGGCAGTCAACAATAATATTAATTCGGCAAGTCAAACTTCAAGTTTAGATATATCAGAAGATGAAACACGATTAACTGATCCAGCAAATGCCAACGATCCACAAACTTCTGTCGATAGTAAGAAATTTTCAATTAAAAAAAAAAAAAATTATAAAAAATAGGGCATATGATTAGCCAATAAAAATCATTAGTTAAAATTTTCATTTTAAAGAATTTTATTCGATATAATATTTTTTTAGACAAATTTCAATAATTTGAGAGAAAAGAAAAACTGTTAAACTAAAATTTTCTTTTTTTCCCTTTTTTTTTTTTTTGCATTTTTTCCCTCTTGCCCAGATGGAACGGAAGTTCCAGTTGAAACGAATGCAACAACAAATAATGCTGAAACTGCATCGGAAGAAGTTTTAATTGAAGCAATGGATTCATTTAATAATGACGAATCACGTTTACTTCAAAGACCGGCAAAATTGAGTACATCAGATTCAACTGATTCACAAACAACTGTCAGTGAGACTAATCAGGATGTTATTGAAGAAACTGTTGCTGATGATTTATCAACAATGAGTGAAGACACGAAAATAAGCATTAAATTGAAATTTATTAACGATGATCAAAAATTGGTCACGGGAAATCTAAAGGAAATGCTAGGAGATTTTAAAAGGTATTAATTTTATTAAATTAAGACATTTTTAAATTCTTGCAATTTTTTTTAGTACAGTAGTAGTAGTAGTGTCAGACAAAACATTTTGTACTTTTTTTGTTTTTTGTTATAGATTAATTTTTTTTTAAGTCGAACCAACCAGTTTTAGTCAGACAAAATATTTTCTTGTGCTTTTTTTTTTAGTAGTAAAGGCCAATTTCAGTCAGAAATTTTTAAATACACTGAGAAAAATATGCTATTGAATCAACAGTCTCTCTCTTCTTTTGTTTATGTTATAAATTTAATTTTTTAAGTAGAAACAATCTATCATAGTCAGACAAAAATGTTTTCATATTTATTTTTAGTAGTAAAGGTCAATTTTAGTCTTAACTTTTTTTTAAAGTTTTTTTTTAATTGTATCAGTAGTGTAAGACAGTTTCAGTCAGACAAAATATTTCGTCCTTTTTTTGTTTGTTATTAATTTAACTTTTTTAAGTAGAACCAACCTATTTTAGTCAGACATAAATATTTTGTGATTATTTTCAGTAGTAAAGGTCAATTTTAGTCAGACTTTTCATATCCTTACAATTTTATTTTTTAATTGCATCAGTAGTGTTTAAAGAGTTGTAGTCAGGCAAAATGTTTTTCAATCCTTTTACTTTATTTCATTGTTATTGTTAAGATTTGTTTTGTTTCAGTAGAATTAACCCGTTTTAGTCAGACAGAATAATTTATTTTCTTATATTATATTTTTCAGTAGTAAATGACAATTTTAGTCAGACATTTTGAAATATTTGCAATTATGTTTTCTAATTGTATCAGTAGTATGAGTATGAGTATGAGTTTTCAATTCAGTAGTAACAGTCAGTATTAATCAGCCAAAAAATTAAAAATTCTTTTAATTACACTTATAGTAGTTAAGGTTATTTTTTAGTCAGACGATTTATAATCCTTGCAATTTTTGTATATAAATTTCCATAACAGTAGTGTAGGTTAGTTTCAGTCAGACAAAAATGTTTTAAAATCTTTTATATTTTTCCAACTATAATATTTTAATTTCATGTTCGATTTAAGTAGAAACAAATATTTTTAGTCAGACATTTACAATCTTTTACATTCGTTTCAGTAGTAAAAGCAAATTTTAATCAGACATTTTTAAATCCTTAGAATTTTTATTAAAAAAATTTTTTCGCAATTAGTGAAAGATAGTTTCAGTCCGACAAAAAAATTCTAATTATTATTGTTTGTGTTTTGGTTTAGAAGAAAGAAGCAATTTTTGTCAGACAATTGTAATTTATTTTCAGTAGTAAATGTCAGTATTAGTTAGACATTTTTATATCCTTGCAATTTTATTTTTAAATTGTATTTTGAAATTAAATTGTAAATTGTTTTAGTTCATATTTTGTTACAGTAGTAGACAATTTTTTTAGTCAGTCACAAAGTTCATTTCTTAAAGGTTTCATTTAAAAGAGACGGTTTTCAGTAATCAAATTGCAAAAAATTGTAATTTTAGTTCGATGAGTAAATTTACAGTTCAGTAGTAGCAGACAGTATTAGTCAGACATCTGTATATTCTTTTAATTCTTTTCCTAGTAGTAAATATCAATTTTAGTCAGACTTTTCAAATCCTTGCAATTTTATATTTATATTCTCGTTTCAGTAGTATAGGTCAATTTCAGTCAGACAAAATATGTTTTTTTTTATTATAATTACGGTATTATTAGAACGTTGTCAATAGTAAAAATACAAAATAAATCGGACAAAACGTTGTATTTGCTCTTAACAAATTTCAATAGTAAAAACTACTGATTAACATTCTGATTTTACTTCTAGAAGTAAAAGACTAATTTCAGTTTTACTCTACCAAATTTTGTTTGCAATTTTCGTACCAGTAGTAGTAGTTATTTTTAGTCAGACTAAACATTATATAACATTTCTTGTTTATGTTATTTGTTTTTTTATCAGTAGTAAAAATCATTTTTGGTCAGACAGAACTTTGCTTGCTTATCTTATCGTTTTAGTAGTTAAAATCATTTTTGTTCAGACAATTCGTTTAATATTCAAAATTTCACTTTCAGTAGTAAAATTTCATATATCATCAAATAAATATTCCTTATTTTTTATATGTTAAAAATAATTTTTTTTGAAAATTACCATTATTTAGACGACATTTCCAAGATGAATTGGAATCACAAAAATTAGTGCGTCTCGTATTCAATGGACAAGTTCTTCAACCCGATAGTAAAACATTGGAACGTTGTGGTCTTTTTAATAATTGTGTTGTACATTGTTTGGTCCATCAACCACGACCAGCATCAATGACAACATCGTCAACATTGGAAAATTCATCGTCAATTTATTTTAATCCACAAACATTTCAGGATATTCCTGATGCCACGGGTCTCAGTTCGTTACAAGACGAATGGGATTTAAGTAGACTTTTATGCAGCATTTTAACACTTGTATTAGGACTCGCTTGGTATTCACATTTTCATTATTCACAATTATTCACTGTAACAACGACACTTGCTTTATATGCATTAACTGCAGTTTTCACTGCTTCCTTATTTGGTCACTTTTTTTCAAATCAGGACAATGCCCGTGTTGTTGAATAAAAAAAAAATCCTCTATATATATATTTATAATTTTTAAATATATATATATATATATATATATTTACATGTGAAAGCAATAATGAATTGTGATTTAAAAAAAAATATAAGAGAAGCAGGCGCATGGCGCCTTTATCGCAGGATTTTGTGGCCAATATTAATATTACCGTTGCTAAGGAAAAAAAAATCCATAGCAACGGTTGCTAAGAAAAAACGTTCATGGAAACGGTTACTATGGAAACTATTACCATGGCAACCGTTACTATGGATACTGTTACCATAGCAACCGCTACTATTGAAACTGTTACCATGGAAACGGTTGCTATGGAAACGGTTGTAATAGAAACCGTTGCTATGGAAACTATTACCATGGCAACCGTTACTATGGATACTGTTACCATAGCAACCGCTACTATGTAAACTGTTACCATAGCAACCACTACTATTGAAACTGTTACCATGGAAGCGGTTGCTATGGAAACTGTTGCCATAGCAACCGTTACTATAGATACTGTTACCATAGCAACCGCTACTATGTAAACTGTTACCATAGTAACCACTACTATTGAAACTGTTACCATGGAAACGGTTGCTATGGAAACTGTTGCCATAGCAACCGCTACTATGGAAACTGTTACCATGGAAATGGTTGCTATGGAAACTGGTTGTAATGGAAACCGTTGCTATGGTAACTGTTGCTATAGTACCGTTACTATGGTAACTGTTGCTAAGGAACTTGTTACTATAGCAACCACTACTATGAAAACGGTTGCTATGGAAACCGTACAAGTGTACGACAGACGGACGGACGTCAAAGCGAAACTATAAGGCTTTCAAGTCCTGGGCCACAAAATCCTAAATAAAAACAATGCGGCTTGTCTTTATTGTGAATAATAAATTGCCATGCAAATATAATTGTTGAACAATTTGCCACGAGGTGTTTTTTGTTTTTTTTGTTTTTTTTTTATTATTTTTTTTATGCTACAGTGGACAAATGTCGCATAAATATTTTGCTGGTGAAATACTGCGATTTCAAATATATATTATATAATGAGAATGTGCGATGATCCTAGTCTTACTTTTTATTGTTAAGAATAATAATATCGTTTTGTATACAAACAAAAAAAAGATCGAGTCGATATACAAAAAAAAAAAAAAAATGTAAATTATAATTCGTATATTTAATGTTTAAAAGAAGAGAAAAAAAAATGTAAATGATTGTGCGACTTAATTTGACTGTGTGAAAAAAAGTACACAAAATTAAGTTCTTTAAATTGTGTCACTTAAATGTAGTTTTTGTTTTTAACATATATTTTTTTTTTTAGATTTAAAAATATATTGTTATACAGAAATGAAAAATAGAATAATAAACTATGTAGACGTGCGAAAGATTTAAAAAAAATTACATTTCAATGATTTATATACAAAAATTTAATTAAACTATGTATAGATTGAAATGATGGAACAAAATTACAAAAATAGAGATTTTCAATATTTTTTTTTTAAAGATATTAATTGTTTTATTTATTTATATTGCAAAAAAAAAAATTAAATATTCTGTAACGAAAATCTCTATTATTATAATCAGAATAAAAATTTTCAAATAAGAAAAATAAATGAGAAAAGTGTATATTAGAAAAATAAATTGTACAGTGTATATATCTATTACTATTAAATTACTTATAAATTCATGTTATTGTAGTGATTTACTAACATTTATTTTGATCAAAAAATAAATCCACGAAGAAAATTTTTTTTTTCCGTAAATAAATATATATATACATATATACATATCTCCGAATATTTATCTAGAAAATAACAATTTTCATTGTATATTATCATTTTGTCATTATTTTTAGTTTATTTTTTTTTCTATTTTATATCTATATTTTAATGAGAATTTCAAATTTAGATTGTCATATTTTTATTTGAATTCTACTTAAAATATTTATCAGTTAAATCTACAAAATGTCGAATATAAAAAATTAATTGAAACTACATGTCATAATTTTAGTTTTTAAAAAAAAAAAATAACAAAAACTCGAAAAACCGAGAAAAAGGTTTATTTATCCAAAGAAATAAATTTTGTCAGTGCCTGAAGAAAAAATTAATTTAAGATTTTATTATAACAATTTTTGAGCTGTAGATTAATTGAAACAATATTTTGAAAGTATCTCGAAGTCTCGAATAAACAATAAGTTGTAATATGAAATAAATTTAATGAAAACAAGTGAAGTGTAATTTTGTTAAAATTAAAAAAAAAAATTACACGCGGCACGAGACTCATTTTATTGAGAAATGAATCTTCTATTTTTTAATTCAAACCTATATATGCATATATTTTCATCTAAACTGATAAAAAAAAAAAAATTTTACTACTATTCTTATTTCAAATATGTGAATGGGAAAATAAGTTAGTAACTGAAAAAAAAATTTATTTGATTCAAATAATCGGTTATTTGACTATCAAATAAATGTTTACTTGAAGCAAATAAATATTTACTTGAATCAAATAAATATTTACTTGAACCAAATAAATATTTACTTGAATCAAATAAATATTTACTTGAAACAAATAAATTTTATTTGGACCAATAATTTCTGTATTTGAAACAAATACTATTTAATTGGCTCAAATAAAAATTATTTAGTTCAAGTAAATATTTATTTAATAATAAAATAATCGAATATTTGAATCAAATAAAATTTTTTTAGTGCATTAAACATTTTACTTTTTGAATGAATTTTGCAAAATGTGTAAATGGCAAAAAAAAAACGTGTGTACATTAAACATTTAATTTTGATATTAAATGGCAAAAAAGAACGTATATGTATAAAATCATTTTGTTTTGAATGAATTCGCAAAAATGTCATTAAAAAAAAATGTATGTAAAACATTTTATTTTTGAATACGTGCAAAACTAATGTAAAAGTGTCAAGAAGAAAAAAAAATTGTGAAGTAATTATAAAATATTATAGAAAATATAATTCCTTTTTTCTTTCAATATTCTATATATGCTAAAATTGCATTAAATAATTAACATTGCTGTTGGTCATTGTATTGTAACAATACCTTTGTTTGTTATATATTTAACAATATGAAATCAAATAAACAAATTTTAACAAATCTTATATTTAGTGTTTTAGTAATCAATTTTTTTTTTTTTTTTTATTTATCCTTTTCAAATAGGAAATTTATTATTGCAAGTAGTACAACTACATTGTTGGTCAGACGATGAAATTTTTCTAAGTACACTGAAAAAAAAATTTATTTGATTCAAATACCGGTGTATTTGGTTATTATCAAATAAATATTTACTTGAATCAAATATTTCTTATTTGAATCAAATATTTCTTATTTGAATCAAATATTTCTTATTTGAATCAAATATATAATATTTGTATCAAATATTTCAGTATTTGAAGCAAATACCATTTATTTCATTCAAATAAGAAATATTTGATTCAAGTAAATATTTATTTGATAATAACCAAATACACCGATATTTGAATCAAATAAATTTTTTTTTCAGTGTATTATTATTACAATTATTACACTGAAAAAAAATTATTTATTTGATTCAAATACTCGATTACTTGACTATATTATCAAATATAAATATTTACTTGACGCAAATAATTTTTACATATTTGAATTAAATAAATTTTATTTGAACTAATAATTTCTGTATTTGAAACAAATTGACTTAAATAAGAATTATTTGATACAAATAAATATTTATTTGATGATAGTCAAGGAATCAAGTATTTAAATCAAATAAATTTTTTTTTCATTGTAGTATTTTTATTATTATTATTATTATTATTATTATTAGTAGTAGTAGTAGTAGTATCTATTAGTATTATTAGTATTGTTAGTATTATTAGTATTATTAGTATCATTAGCATTTATTATCATAATAAATAGTATCATAGTATCATAGTATCATTAGTATTGTTATTTCTGTTATTAAAAACAATATGTAAAAAAATGTTAGTAATTTAAAAAAATGATTAACATATATTGAGATTTGTTTTATTTAATTTTCAGTGTTTTGAAAATTAAATCCATACCAACGCGCCATACTGCAACGCCATCTATTAACGAAAGTAGAAAATTGTGCGGCGCGAGCATGTATTTTATCCTCCTTTCTTCCAACAGCAGTCTGCTTCTAGGAACTTAATATCAGTTAGGCTTTGGCTGCCGGCTGACTTTCGTTGATGTGTAGTCATTGGTCCCTTATATTATTGTCATTGACTCGTACATCGAGTGTATAAAGTTTTTCAATGAATGTTGATTGTTTTTGACATATGAATGTGTAAATTGTGTAAAGATCTGACAGACAAACATTTTGGTAGTGTCGTGTGAGTGTTGTCAAACGGGTGATATTTTTGTTTTTAAAGAAATTTTTATTTGTGTATTTGTATAGTTGATTTTTGTGCGAAGTAAAAAAGAAGAGAAGAGAGACATGCGGCGCAATGTGAAAATAGTGCTGCTGTTGTCATGCGCCTGGATGTTCGTCTTTGTTTACTACTACCACACGTCTAGAGATCCCAAGGTAAGAGTGCCGGGTGTCAAGTGCACGAGTGTATATATATATATACATTTGAGTTTACAATGTGATTGATTGGGATTTAGTTTTCATTTCAATTTTTTTTCACATAGTTAAGATTATAAAACCAATGGATGTTTTGAATTTTTTTTTTTAGGATTCTACTTTTTTTCCAGGCAAGAAAACAGGTTTTCAGTCATAAATTGGAGTAGAAGGAGTCGAGTGCGTGGAATCTTATATTTTGAAGAGAAGTGTTTTTTTAATGTCTCATCTTTATTATTAATTTAAAACGTTAGGATTAATAAAAGTAATTGTAAGTTTGGTTTTATAATAAATGTTGTTGATCTGGTCTCTCGTGTTACAAATCCTTTCATAATCTAATTATAAAAATTAATTACTTTAATCCAAATCAAACTTTAGAATTAGTAAACGATTATTTCTTAATTGTTTAAAATCGATTCCAACAACACTTAATTTCTTTCTAATTGTATGAAGCCAAAAATTCTGAACAATATTTTGTAATAAAATTCCTACTTAAAGAAGTTGCAAAACAAATTTCGTTCATTTGAACACTTTTGGCTCATCTAATTGTAAGTTTTTGGATGATTGTCCTAAAAAAAACCCTAAAATTCTGAACAATATTTTGTGATAAAATTCGTACTTAAAGAAGTTGCAAAAAAAATTTCGTTCATTTGAACATTCAAAACTTTTGGCTCATCTAATTGTAAGTTTTTGGATGATTGTCTTCAAAAAAACCCTAAAATTCTGATATAGTTCCTTAATTTTCAATTGCGGTTTGAAAAGTACAAAAAAAAAAATACTTCCTGTGCATAAATTAAATCCAGAATCTGTATTTGAAAAAACGATAACCAATTAAAGATCCTTTTCTGTGTATACTGACAGTCTCAGGAGGGAAAAAGAAGCTTTTTGGCACAACTGCCAAGATGTATTCGAGACTTCGGAAAGGGGTTTCTTTTTTTTGGACGATGTGTCTTTTATAGTCTGTGGATTGTTAGTTCCGCATTGCAAAGCATGTTCATTCACGCGCAAAGAGGATTCGGTGACCTTAAATCCTTGGTATCTTTTGAAGAAAACTGAAACAGATCTGAAAGGCGATCAATATATATATATATATATAAAGTCAAAGTACCAAAAGAGGAAAAAAATATATATCACGACAGTCTATTGACCTCAATATATATATTCAAAAGCCAAAACTTTTCTATATTAAGATATTTTCCTACACAATTGTTTGACTTCAATGTAATACTTTTTTTTTATCCATAAATTCTTATATATTCAATTGGAACAATTTTTAATCTTCTTTTTTTCTTTTCTATTTAATTTGTTCTTGATTCGATTGACTTTTTCCCCCCCAGTGAAAGCTATCAATTTTGTATATAAAAGAGCAAATTTTTTTAAAACCGTTCTTCCATTATACTTTTACGTGAATAATATTGTTAAAAGTCCTGTATCACTCATTCAAACGTTAAGCACTTCTATTGATGTCAATTGTTTTATTGGAATTCCAATTCTGGTTCGTCGATATTTTAAATTCGATTCTTTGATAAAAGGAAATTTCCTGGAATATCTATTTTTGGAGAAAAATCACATTTACTAATAGTATTGTAAAATACAGTCAAAAAAAATTGATTTCGATTTTATAAATTGAAAAAAAAAAAAAAATTCAATTCTATGATAATTGCATGAATGTTTTGTCACGGTAATGATGTTACTGTTCTGTTCAGTATATATATAACGTTATTCTAGAGTTTTGCACGCTGTGATGATCGCGTTTATCGATGCATGATGCATACATTTATTGACGCATGAGTGCGTGTGAAAACGTTATGCACTTGTCACGTTGGTTTACAGTGAGCAAGCACCAAACTGTCTTTTCTTGCGTTCTCTACTGAGAAATGCATCTAAATAGAGAGAGAGACAATGGTCTTATATACATATATATATATCTCCACTAGAACGCTTTTATATAAACAAATTATATCATCCAAGACATTCACCAGAAATTATCTATATATTATAATTCATAAATTAATTTTTTAATTCTAAGAAAAAATTTATCAATTTTTCCATGTGTTTTCAATAATAAAACAACAGAAAGTAGTAGTTGCAAAAATTAACGTTGGTCCATACTGGCGTTACGGAAAAAAAAATCTTCACCTGGAACAGCGAAAGTTTTTTCACTATTCTAGAGAAACCTAAAGATTTTTTTTCCATGTGTATATTAAAATTTTATAATAAAGTGTTTTTCCTAACTCAACAAGCTGAAAATAATACAATTGACAACAATTACATTTGTAATACCAACAATCAGAATTTTTAACAACAAATTTTCCAAGCAATTCAAAAATAGTTAAAACATTTTTTCGGTGTAGAAATATTTAATGGCTTTTATATTATTAGTAATATCATTCCATTAATTTAAAAATTTATCGTGCGCTTTTTTTAAATTATTTAGAATCTAATAAATCAATGCTCTTCCATTAGTAATATATATATATAAAAGTGATAAATCGTTTGGAATTAATTCAATTTTAGCCTTTTTCAATTTATATTTTTCTTTTATTTGTTTGATTCTAAGTGCTGTTTCCTGTTTTTCAGCATTTTCTATCAGCGATTTCATTTAAGCTTCGCTTTTAAATTTGTCTCTATTTACCTCCTGATCTTTTTTCCATTTGTGCGCAACATTGTCTTTTTTAATTTCCGTACTCTTTTTCAATTAAATATTGAATTGTTCATCCTCTCTCAATGAATTTAATTATAAAAATCTTGTTTTTCATCACTTATTTCTTTTTTTTTTTTACTTTTTTTCGCAAAGAGTTTTTTGTATATCTATAATCCTTTATCTTGGAATGTCCAATTGAATGCAAAATTCATTCGGGAACTTCTTTTTCCTTTCAGTTTTTTTTTTTTTTTTTCTTTTTTTTAAGTCAATCTTCTTGCTCCTGATCGTGCCCAGGAGCCAGGAATGCAATATTTCCGGTCGTGACGTTACCGTGATTAGAAGCGGTAACTCGTTTCGCATCAAGGATTCCACCTCTTTGCAAGTTGGCAAAGTGCAAATGACTGCACGTAACCGCATTTATCGGTGAAAGAAAGCGATTTTGAGACATCGAACGACTTTTTACCAGATAAAGAACTGGATTCTTTTAATTTTTGTCAAATTAAATTTTCAAATATGGTAAAAATTTAAGAATTTTCACAGTGAACCTTAACGGGAATTAAACTGTTTTTGCAAATATGATATTATTGATTTTGAATCAGTGATTGCTGATCAAAATTATCATTTTGGAATAGTAAATTGTTTTGTTTAAATCTGTCAATAAATTCTCATGATTAGGGAATCTATTTGGGATTATTTTGAATTTTGTTCGTTATTCATGCGTGCGAAACATATTGCAGGAACTATCGTTTTATGCGGTACTTAAACTCTGTCTCTCTCTCTCTCTCTCTCTGGCGTTCGATATACAACAAACATTTTGACTATGGTGAATCGAATAGAATGAGAGTGTGACTCGTTGAGAGATTGTCATAAATGCGTATAGAAGTTTCATTGTACATGGGGTCTCTTTGACCGAGTGTGCAACATAATTGCAATATTCCATATATTGTGTATACCATCTTCCATTGTGAAACAACGATTCGGTTACGTGCGTGCCTACGCACCGGATATACATTTTGCCTTTATAGTTGCGTGTAAATTGATGATTCGTCACTGTTCTAACAACCAAAACTTGTCTCTTAGAGTAAAATAGAGCTGCTGATACAGAGGAAATTCTCTACGCCGCAATGAATATATATGTCATTTCATTGATGACCTGAAATCTGAATCAGCAACGATGTTTTCACACATTAATTTGCCTATGATGAGCTTTCAACTAAAACTTTGGTTAGTAAAAGTTTATCAAAAATTTTGAAAGTAAATTTTTTTTTCCATGTGTATATTAAAATTTTATAATAAGATGTTTTTCCTAACTTCTGAAAATAATACATTTACTAGCGATGTATTCCTCGCTCGGTTAAAATTGTACTTATTGTTGTTTACTTATTGTAGTTTATGTATATTATATATATAATTTATGTTTTAAATTAATATCTTATTAATATTGTATAAAATTTATCTTAAAATTGAAAAAAGATGTTACATAAAAATAGTTTGTAAGATTTTCTAAAAGCATATATGCAAAGTATTTTGATTTATTTGAAAATAATTGAAAATAGATTTTTCAAGGACGGTGTCGAGGTCACGGGGTCGGTGTCCGTTTTCGAAATTTGTTAACTTAATATAATAGAAGATGTTTCGTTTTAAATTAAGAAATGTTAAAATTATTAAGTTAAAAACATTTGATTTTAATGACACTTAAAATTAGACACAATATTATAGGTTACTAACTAAAAATTGAAAAAACAACAATAAATAATAAAAAATAATAATAAAAAATTGAAAAAATCAAAAATTTTTAAAAAAATTGCAAAATAACCCTTTTTCGGGATAAAATTGCAAAATAACCCTTTTTCGGGTTAAAATTGAAAAAAGATGTTACATAAAAATAGGTTGTAAGATTTTCTAAAAGCATATATGCAAAGTATTTTGATTTATTTGAAAATAATTGAAAATAGATTTTTCAAGGACGGTGTCGAGGTCACAGGGTCGGTGTCGTTTTTCGAAATTTGTTAACTTAATATAATAAAAGATGTTTCGTTTTAAATTAAGAAATGTTAAAATTATTAAGTTAAAAACATTTGATTTTAATGACACTTAGAATTAGACACAATATTATAGGTTACTAACTAAAAATTGAAAAAACAACAATAAATAATAAAAAATTAAAAAAATCAAAAAATTCTTAAAAAATTGCAAAATAACCCTTTTTCGGGATAAAATTTCAAAATAACCCTTTTTCGGGTTAAAATTGAAAAAAGATGTTACATAAAAATAGTTTGTAAGATTTTCTAAAAGCATATATGCAAAGTATTTTGATTTA